CACACACACACACACACACACACACACACACACACCTATCTGGGGTCCCATCAGGTGCATTCGTTAACCAGGACACCACAACTGTGTTGTTAGTTTTTAACGATAAATGATGCATTCATTATCTGTATGTGGTTTTGTTGCTGTTTGATGAAAATTGTCGTCAGTGGCTCCAGTAAAATATATACTGTATTCTAAAGTCCCGTCTATGAAGGTCATATTGGTACAGGTATCGCTGCACAGTAGAACAGTGCACACCACTCCAGAGTCTGATTAATCTTCCTGCAGGTCTTTTGCAGTCAAACAGGGTTTTTGATTTGCCTTTCTAACAATCCTACAAGCAGCTCTCTCGGAAAGTTTTCTTGGCCTTCCAGACCTCAACCTGACTTCCACAGTTCCTGTTAACAGCCATTTCTTAAATACATTATGAACTGAGGAAACAGCTACCTGAAAACACTTTGCTATCTTCTTATAGTCTTCTCCTGCTTTGTGGGCATCAGTTATTTTAGCTTTTAAAGTGCTAGGCAACTGTTTAGAGGAGCCCATAACTGGTGATTGTTGGGAAACTGTTTCAGGAGTCAGAATATTTATAAAGCTTTGAAATCTGCATAATCTGGCCTTTCCTAACAGTGACTGTGAACAAGCCAGAGCTCTAAAAAGCTTCAACAATTCACAGTAAAGGAAATTTTGATCAGGGGTGCCCAAACTTTTACACTTTTATATTTTTATATACACTGTATATTAGGGCTTTCAGCATTAACATGTTAATCACAATGCAATTAAGGTCTGAACATAACGTGCTAATATTTATTTTAATCACCTTGCTATTTTCGTCACCTGTCTTTCAAAGGCTACAGATGTCTGAGTTTTAAAGCTAGAATGATGACACTGGTATCATATTAAACTAGAAGACCTAAAACCATATTATAGTACAGCGGATTAGCAGATAAATTGTGCACCTTTTGAAAAAAAAGCATGAAATTTCTACCATAGTTTATACATACCATAAGGTTTATTTTTAGATGTGGAGGGAAGTCAGATTTGACCTCTGAGGCCCGGGAGAAGTCAAATTCAAGATGGACGCCAATAATATTCAAATATGCTTAACTTTGGAACCAAACACAGTAGAAAAACATTTAAGGTGTCATCTCCAACTACATTTAGGGTGCCCATTCAGTTGATGATACTTTTGAAATCACCAGAATTCAAGAAAATGCATTTAGGTCAAAGTCATGGTCAAATTATGCAGACGGAGTGAGCTAAAGGGTGCAAAAGATTTATTTACAAGTTTCCAACATAATAACAGTAATGATAATGATCATTAAAAATGTATTTACTTACAATATTTCAGTAGGCCTACTATGCTTCTTATACTGAAACTTGCTTTGAAATCAGTAATAACACGTCTACATTTACACGCCAGCTATTAGCTCTCAAGCCTGTTTGATACCAGCGGCACAGTATTGAACTAGGCTACTTTGCTATCACCATTAATTCAGCTATAGTCCTACTTCACACAAATGACCAACCTGAAATCTCTAGAACATGCGCTGTTCAATCATTCAACTGACTTCACCTCATGTATGTTCCAGACTGTCTTCTAGTTTAGCTAGCAGAATTATTTTGATCAGTGGCCACCTTTTTTTTTTTTTTTTTTTTTTTTTTTTACCACAGAAGCTAGATAGCTAACTAACTAGGCAGGAATTCCCGGCTACAATTAAATTCAATGTATTTGTATGTTAAGGCTTTATTCAAGTATACTTATATTGGCGGTGTTTCCCAGATGGCTTTTAGCGCTAAGAGCTTCTTAAGAACGCTCTTAAGCCTCCCGTGAAAGAAAAACGTATTTCCCAGATCGCTCTTAGCTTAAGAAGATCTTTCACTAAGAAGGTGTTGTAAGATCGAGCTAACCCACTCTTAACAGTCTTCTTAGCGACCAAATGCTCACAAATCCAGCCGCGTCAGGCAAATTAATATTACACTAAGCTTTCTGACTAATTACTGTCTGAGTCATTTTTTCCCTGTTTTTCTGAGTAATTTTTCCCTGCTTTTCTGAGTAATATTTTCTGTTTTTCGGAGAAATTTATTTATTTTTCTGTTTTTTGGTGTAATTTTTTAAATTTTTTCCTGTTTTTCTGGGTAATTTTTTCCCTGGGAGGGGGGGGGGGGTTTTTCTGTTTTTGGTGGTAAGTTTTTTTCTGTTTTTGAACGAGGAGACGAGATACTCCCAACAAGCCAACAAGCAGGTCATATTGGCTTCCATTATATCAAGCTCTCAAGAAAGGAATTAAAGTGTCTGTTGTTCTATTGCTCTCTTAACTCTGAAAAAAATACTCAGAAAAACAGAAAAATTACTACGAAAAACAGAAAAAAAAATACCATGAAAAACAGAAAAAATTACAGAAAAACAGAAAAATAAAAAAATACTCCGAAAAAAAATTACTCAATAAAACAGACTTTTTTTTTAATTGTCAAGTGAATGCAATACGCTTCCATAGATATTGAAACAGCGCGCACCATATATATTTTGATCTATTTTATACTTCAGATTTATATTGTTTAGCATTAATTGGTGACAGAAAAGAATGGATTTCATTCTGCAGGCAAACGCATGTCCTTACTGTGCATATGACAATAAACACTTTGAATCTTGAATCTATATGTTTTATGAAGACCCTATGTGCACTCAAAGCTGTGGCACAAGTTACGCACCGAAATCTGGCAGAAGAAAAATAATAATAAGAAAAATAAGTATGAGGAATAACAAGTGTGTTCCTGTATGTGCTGTGCACATCAGGCACACAAATAAAATGAATCATCATGACTATCATTCATCATAATTCGTCCGCACATATCCCACATCTGCATGCACATATGAGATAGTTTACCACATCCAAAAAATGCATCAGGGCACAATAGAAACACATCCACCCTCCAAACCTGCGACATTCAGATATCAGGCAACTGACAGGTGTAATTGAGCTCAGCTGGAACCATATCAATGGATGCTCCACCTGCCACTCTATATAAAAGCGTTGCCACATCACACATGTGTGAGATACCATGGCTGCTTTACAGCATATTCTCGCTGCTAACCAACAGCGTCGCCGTGTGCAAAGCCAAACCGTATATGTAAATGCATTTGTGCGTCAGCACTTCAGCCCACTCGACGTGCTGTCAGACCGAGCTGTCCAAATGAAGTACCGAGATACAACACCTCATCAGTGTCTCCACACATCCGGAGGGCAACCTGGTGCAATTTTGCCCTCAGCCCGGAGGTGCAATGCCTGGCTGCGCTGCGTTTTTACGCAGTGGGGAGCTTCCTGGACGTGGTGGGAGACGGCACCAGCCTCAGCAAGGTGTCTGTGTTTTTTTGTTTAAATATAATACATTTCCTTATGATTCTCTTACCAAGACTACTTCTTATTTAGTTGTAGTCTTGTTTTCATCATGAAAATAGGTCATTAACAAATATTTATCGTCTTAGTTTTTCATTAGAATTATTAGAACACACATACACACGAGCAGCAGGGAATTAGTACATTAGGTAGCAGCGCTGTGTGTGACTTATGCGCCGATTAAGTGGTGGGTGATTGATTTGCCTAACATCTATTGTTTCAGCACCGCAGTAGTGGACAGCTCCTGTTAAGAGCTTCTTAAAGAGCGATCTTAAGAGCAATCCTTAGAAGGGCATTAAGAACGCATCTGGGAAACACTCGTATCTTAGCAACCCTTCTTACCAAAGACGTTCTTAACTGTGCTCTTAAGTCTTAAGATTGCTCTTAACTGGGAAACACGGCCATTGTCTGTACATAGTCAGTCAGTTTACCTGGTAGGATATTTATGTCAGAAATGCTCTCTGTCTTGTCACTTGTGCATACTGTAGTCTACTCATCATGTTGCCTACTGACTACTGCTCTTAGAGGGCCATCTGCTGATAATGATGTGCTTAGCAGGAAAAAATAACCACACATCCCAGTAAATGATAACTAATTACTGAATAATACATGAGAGTAAAAAGTAATTGAAATATTTTTGGGGTTCATTAAAAAAAATTTAAAAAGAGGGGAAAATGTTTTGGTTTTTTTAAGCAAATTTTTACCTTGACCTAAATGCATTTTCTTGAATTCCATTGATCTCAAGAGTATCACTAACTGAATGGGCACCCTAAACTTAGTTGGAAATGACACCTTAAATGTTTTTCTATTGTGTTTGGTTCCAAAGTTAAGCATATTTGAATATTATTGGTGGCCATCTTGAATTTGACCTCTCCCAGGCCTTAGAGGTCAAATCTGACTTCCCTCCACATCTGAAAATAAACCTTATGGTATGTACTAACTATGGTAGAAATTTCATGCTTTTTTCAAAAAGTGCACAATTCCTCATAATTTGAGAGCTTATCTGCTGTACTATTATGCTAAGAAAGGGGGTTAAATAATGCCAAAGTTAGGCTAAATTGTGACAAGGGAAAAAAAGCATGGCCATTTTCACCGAGGTCCCTTGACCTCTGACCTCTGACCTATGACTAGAAAAACTTGATACACAGTGCTGAGCTGCATCTCAAATTAATCTTCAGGTTACCAGCTTTCAGTCGGTATATACCACCTCCATGGGTCATATACTGTTGACCTGCTATCTCACCCAAAAGATCAATGGTGATTAACTACTGAAATTAAGTGATTACTTGGGAATAAGCAGAAAACAAACAAATCTGCTGTTTAACTGGACAAATACTACAGGCAGAGAGACTACAGCACAGAAGGAGAGAGAGAGAGAGACGCTGATGAAAAGATGCATCATGAGGCTACTTCACAGTTACTCTTAATGCAGCATGGAAGAACATATTTTCACTGTTTCTGTTTCCCTCAGGTGTCTTTAATGTGGACACTTGAGAGTGTTGTGATTAAAGCAGTCAGAAAGTATAGCCTTTCATTTTTTTTCAATCTGTTTTCATAAATAACCAAATTAAACAATTTCAAACTTTTAACATCTGTGTGTCTGACCTGTGAATCAGAAAACACGTCCTGAATGCTGTTGATTGGCCCAACAGGAACACCTGAGCCCTCAAACCTCTTCAGCCAATCAGCTGTCTTCTCCTGCAGAAACCTGATGGACAGAAATTCATCACTATTATGAGAAATAACAACAACATTATCAGCTGTTCTTAGTGTCTGAAATCAATTTTGTTACTCACCAGGCAAAATAATAAACTGTCTTTCTGTGTCACATATATATTGCTCAAAAAAGTAAGGGAACACTTAATGGTCACAGTATAACACCAAGTCAGTTAAACTTCAGGGATATCAATCTGTCAATTCCGGAAGCACAAGTGATTGTGAATCAATTTCACCTGCTTTGGTGAAAATCAAAGTGGTAACAGGTGCAAAGGAGAGGCGAAAGCAAGACAACCTCCAAAAAGGGAATGGTTTTGCATGTGGTTGCCACAGACAATTGTACTCTCCTTATCTTTTTTAATGCCAAAATTGAAAATATTCACCAGCAACTGACCTCTTCTCACAATACTACTTGCAGTTCACCTAATATGCTTTTCTGTGCTTCTCCTGTGTCTCCCCTATCTAGTTTCAAACTTCCAATTGTTGTTGAACTATCTGGTCTTATTTCTAAATCCAAATCATCTACCTGCCTGTTGGACCCCCTTCCGACTCACCTAGTTAAAATCTGTCTTCCTTCCCTTTCCACCTTAATAACTGAGATTATACATTCCTCCCTTACCTCTGGTCTTGTGCCCACATCTCTCAAAACTGCTGCCATACCTCCAATAACAAAGAAACCTGGTGCAGATCCTTACAACTTGAACAATTTCTGACCAATTTCAAATTTACCATTCTTCTCTAAAATAATTGAAAGATCAGTTGCAGCTCAGGTCCACACTCACCTTAGTCACAACAATCTGAACAATTTCAGTATGGTTTTCAGCTGATTCTGGCCTTCGAACTATTCTCGTTCTTCTTGATCTAAGTGCAGCCTTTGATACCATTTCAAATAACATCCTTGGTATCACTAGCACTGCTCTCAACTGGTTTAAATCATATCTCTCTGGCCGCACTCACTTTGTTCAAACCAGAAATTAAAGATCCAACTCCTTTCCAGTTACTAGGGCTCTGTCTTAGGTCCCCTTTTATTTATTATGTACCTTCTACCTCTTAACCGTATCTTCAGAAAATGTGGTATTCAATTCCACTGTTACGCTGGTGACACCCAGCTCTATCTCTAAGCATTGACTCCAAAGTCCATCTCTCTCTGGGTGTCATCCTGGAGAGTACATTGTCTTTTGAGGCCCACATCAATAATGCTATTTGGTCTGCATACTTTCATCTCCGAAATGTTAATCACCTTCGCCCATCGCTTACACCTCAGAGCACTGCTATCCCTGTTCACTCTTTGGTTACATTACGTATTGATTACGTATCCAGATTATTGGGACTGATCTTCCCTCCATCGAGGACCTGTACCGATCAAGGGTCAGGAAATGGGCAGGAAACATCACTGTAGACCCCTCACACCCCTGACACAATCTGTTTAAACTCCTCCCCTCTGGTAGGCTCTACAGAGCACTGATCACCAAAACTACCCATCACAAAGACAGTTTCTTCCCCCAGGCTGTCGCTCTGATGAACTCCTAACAGTCACAGAGTGGCAGGTCAAACAACACTTGCATCCTTGTATATTGTATATTTTTTTATATTTGATGTATATTTGTATATTTTTTGTATATTGTATATTTCTGTATATTCCACTTCTTGTCTAAATTTTGAATACTAATGTCAATTCTGGTACACTGAGAGCAAGTCTACCGGAGTCAAATTCCTTGTATGTACAAGGGTACTTGGCGAATAAATCTGATTCTGATTCTGATTCTGTTCTCTTCTCTAGGTTTACACTGAACACGTGACAGGTGTGAAAGAGTCTGTAGACACCACGGTGAACGTCTGCCTGTGACATAATCCAGGATTATCGGTTTGGCGATGGGTCAGTGATGGTCTGGGAGACATACCCTTGGAGGGTCACACAGACCTCCATGTCATAACCAACAGTTCCCTGACAGCTGTTAGGGAACCTGGATTCCTCCTGGTGCAGGACAATGACACATCATGTGGCCAGAGTGTGTAGGCAGTTACTTGATGATGAAGGCATTGATGCCATTGACTGGCCCTCTCGTTCCCCTGACCTAAATCCAATCCAATTAAGCACCAATGGGACGTTATGTATCAGTGCATCAGAGTGCCAACTACCGTCACAGACTGTCCAGGAGCTCACTGATGCTCTGATCTAGGTCTAGGAGGATATTCCCCAGGACACCATCTGCCACCTCATCAGGATGCACTTCTGACAGGCACGCTGGGGCCATACACACTACTGAGTCACATTATGAGTTGCCTTGATAAAATTCACACAAGTTGGATCAGCCTGTGATTTAAATTCTTTACTTTGATTTTCGGTGTGATTTTGAACCCAGCCCTCAGTAGGTTGATGATTTTGGTTTCGACTGACCATTGTTACATCATTTTGATTTCAATCAATTATACAATGTACATCAGTAAGCATTTTCAGCTATATTAATTTACATGCGCACACACACACACACACACACACACACACACACACACACACACACTACAAGAAGATACTGTAAATTTATTTGAGAAATCTGGACTTTGGAAATATTTAATATGAGTATCACACCAATAAAACTGTTTGAATTCAACTGGACAAAGACAAAGAGTTGTACCTCTGTGAGAGTGTGTGCAGCAACTGTTGGCGGTTTTGGACTCTCAGCTTGTTGGTTTTGTACTTTGGTTCGTCTGTGAGCTCCATCAGCTGCAGAACCTGCAACCACACAGAGTTTAATATTTCATATAAAAAGAAATCCTCTCTGTCTGTCAAAGCTGGGGATCCTCAGAACAAACCCTCCAAACTTTACAGGATGAGCTGAGTATCAAATACTTTTGAGATGCTCTGTGTATGCCTGTATGTACTAGAAATATATCTATATATCTGCAATAATGTGTATGTGTGTGTAAGTACATATGGGGGTTTGCATTTAAAATAGGCAGGATATTCAAAAACTTTACATTCGATTGCTCTTCCTCTAAAAAAACATTCATTTTTGGGCAAAAACTAATCACAATATTTGCCTGTGAAATAATAAAACTGTTTGAATGTGTGTCTGTGTTTAAGAGATTCACCTGACAGACTTTGACAAACTGTTTGTTGTTGCCTGCAGCCATCACAATGTGTCCGTCTTTGGTTTTGAAGCCCTGGAACAGAGATGAGAGCTTTCAGACAGACACGGCTTCAGTGATAATTATCAGGAGGAAACACTTCTGAAATAACACTGATCCCTATGACTCCATGTTTCTGTTGCTGCAGTGCTACGCATGTTTAACAGCCAAGTCAGCAGAAGAAAATGTTTGCTTTGCTCGTTTCTGCAAACCAGGAATATGTTAATACATATCATATCAACGGTTCTAAAGTGACATAGTATATAGGCTGACTTTGTCATCAGGATGTGGAGGCGACGATGGATGGTGTGCCACCATTGAGAGTGAGACAGCTGCAAATCTGCAAACCACTGTTAAACAACAAAACTTTGTTTTTAGCGAGTTGTGACTACGCTTCATGCAGCAAAAAGTGGTTGTTTTTTTACAGAAACATTGGGTGATGTCATTAACCAATGGGCTCCAACAGGTCCAACATCAATACACCATGCTGAGTCTGCCAACTACGTAGGACAAAGCAAAAACCTACCGCCCAAAACTGACTGAAAGCCAACCTTCGAGGGCCCTTAAGCTTTGTAAAAATACATTAGCAGAATGAATACACTGAATATTTTCAATAACTGACATTAAAAACTCAAGTTCTTTGTAAATATATAATATATGCAATGTATTTGTTTCTCAGATCACAGTTTCAACTGCAGTGTCATTCTGAAGAGACTTGATAAAACTTAAAGGGTTTTTTCTATCATCACTTTTGGCTGCGATGAGTCAAACCATGCCACGCTGATTTGCAATTTATTTGTCAGTTTAACATGCCAAGCTTAGCCAAGCCACGCCAGAGATGGACTATTTCCAGAGTCGGTGCACCTAACAGCCTCCAAGCAGGTGGCAGTGACATCTTGCCGACCGCAGCCAACCTTCGATGACTTTGCATCTCTTCCTGTAACAAGTGTGTGGAGACACCACTTACATCTGTATGTGCAGAAGACCAGAGAGAAAGGAATTTTAAAAGTCTCTGTGTGTTCAGCTTTCAGTGCTTTTGTAGCTTCCAACTGAATCTCTGTGATTTGGAATAAGTTTCCCTCCTGCATCCTGTTTTTACTTTAGATATCTGCTTTATTTTACTGTTTCATGTTTGCTTTCAGCTGTATAGGAGTCATGTTAAGTTACTGCTGATGAAAACTTTTCCTTATTTTGCTGCATAACAATTTAAGTCTAACATAACAAAATAACTTGGGACTTTTATTGTGAAGAATCTGTAGGATGTGAAATATATTATCACGAAATTAGCAGAACTTTGTTAGCAGACTTTTTCTAAATAAAGGCAAGTCTAATAATTGACAGGGAGGAAAGTGAAAGCAGAAACAGCCACAGCGAGATGTTAGATAAAGATATGCCAACAACAGGCTCTTACTGCACCTCTGCAAACAGCTCACTTCCAACAGGTAAACTTCTTTTACTTGTCGTGCTATGTAATGGAAAAACACTTGCAGCAAAATAACAGGGGACTTTAGTTCTGGATCAGCCCACTGCTTTTAAATGTCATCACTCAAGACAAGCCGTCAATAGTTGAAGACACACCTTCAAGCAGGTAGTCCTGTTGTGATGGAGACACAAATCCCCATTGTGCTGGGCTGACAGGCCAAACCAAACAGTCAGCGCATGAGTGTGGAAACAGTATTAGTGGCCACAGGGGGGGAATCTACAGGTGCTATTTGATGGCCACAGAGTCACTTTTTGTGGTCAGTGGCCAACACCCTGTTGAACCCTGATATATACATCTCAAAAATGGCATCATCTTTCAAAAACTGATTGATATCTGGTATCCAAAGCAAAGTTCTTGGTATCACCCACTCCTCACAATTACACCTTTGTGTTTAGCCATACTTTCACAAGTAGCAGCAGGACGTTAAGAGGCAGCAGAGAGGCTGACTTTAGGTTGTGAACTTTGGGGATTATAACATATTTTAAGCTGGTTCTTCCCAGCAGGTTATATGGAATTTACTCTAATTAAATAGGAGGTCCTGAGTGTGATGGAGGTTCATCTACATTTTATCCCAGATGAATTTTAAAAAAAGTTTAATAAGCTGAAGCACGCCTGAGGAAACCTGTTTAAAAGGCCAGCTTCCTTCTCTTCTTTATCTCGTCTTTCCTTCCCCCGAGTCGTCCTTCTTTTCTTCCTCCCTAATTTTCTTCTTCCCACTTTTTGGACTTTCTCCTCACTCTCTCTCTCTCTCTCTCTCTCTCTCAATTGCTTGTAATAAAAACTGGTCACCACATGAAAGGACAAGAACTGCTGTCATGCATCACACACACACCAGCAACCACATCCCACTGCTGTATGTGCGTATTCTGACCACTAACCCTTTAGTCACAGTGCTCTCAGTGCTCAGCTCCAACCGCCGTCTCTCTTTCATCCTCTGCCTCAGGGAGTTGTGGGTAACGCAGTACACCCTGGGACTACAACAGGACGTTCATCCACAAAACCCCAAACAGTCCTCAGAGAGGGCAGGCGGTGCGGTCGGGTTGCAGTGGGCTGGCTCCTGCCCCCCAACAAAAGTGTAAAAGAACTGAAGCTCAATGTTTCAGTCATCTACACCTCTGCAGGGCTTTCCCAAGTTTTATAGTACATTTCCTGTCAGTCTCAGCATCAAACTGCAGCAGCAAACAAGAGACTCGCTGGTGAACATAGTGGAGCTTTTAGCAGCTTAAGACACAGATATTTCCCTCAGGAGGTGGTGGAGACCATAGCTGAGCTAAAACAGAGAGAATACTGAACTGACATTCATCAGGTGACACAAAGGTCCTGTTTATACGACAACGATTTCAACTGAAAACTGTAAACTTTAGTTGCGTTTTGGCTATCGTTTACACGACAGTGGTGTTTTGGGTGCCTGAAAATGCAACGTTTTTAAAACGGATTCCAGAGAGCAATTTTTTGGAAATGCCACCGTCTCCGTTGTCATACAAACTTGCAATATGCAGTTCCTCTGAAAACGGAGACTTTCGCACATGCGCATTACGCTTCCAGTCACTAGGCATGTGCGAGAAAGTCGACCATCACAACAACAATGGCGGACTCCCAGCTCTGCTTGTGCTGCTCACCCTATTAAATTTATCAACACTTCCCCATCATAGTGTAGATTTACTGTAGCAACTCCACCTCGTCATCTGTGCAGACAAACGTGCGAGCGGTTGCCATTTTGTTTGTTTATACATCGCCACTCTGTAGAAGGAAGCGTAAGCGTCACACTGCCAACTACTGGCCTGGCATGTATACTGCAGCATTTTTGGCCATTTTTGCAGATCCGTGTGCACGGCAATTGTTATCAAAACTTTTTTCAAAACAAAAATGAGAATGATTCTGTTTTCAGTGGATCATTTTCGTGTAAACATGTATTCTGTCAGCAGACGAATCAACTTTTCTGTCACTTTTGTATCTGAGCACAAGTTTTCTTTCTGGACTGCTGTAAATCTCTCATGTGTCTTTTCTTTGACATGGTAGATGTCTCACTTTTGGGAAGCTTCGATTGACCCATCTCAGAAATCTGATGTGAACTCTGAAAGTCGGGACAGATGAGCTCTAATATCTTCCTCACATAGCTGCAACCACAAAACACCAATAATTCAGTTGTTTCAACTGCTGTGATCGACCAAAAGCCCATCTGGTTCCTCTTTCGTCTCCGGTACCAAGTGTGTGTGTGTGTGTGTGTGTGTGTGTGTGTGTGTGTGTGGTGGGGGGGGGGGGGGGGGGGGGGGGGGGGGGGGGGGGGGGGGGGCAGGGGCAATGTGGGTAAGGAAGTTCACATGAGAATTACATCCCAGGGTAGGACTATAACACAGAGAGATGAGGACCACAAGATCACCACAAGATCACCGCCATTGCCACTTTCACTCCAAGCAAATGGAGCGAAACATCAGGAGTAGCTGACAGTTTATCTGAGTTTGTGTGATGGTTTAATGTCCACATGTGAGTCATGAACCTCCACAATAACATAGTAACATCTCAGTTCCCTCAGGCTCACAGTCACTAATGTGAAGCAGCTTGAAGACAGACATGGCTCTGAATGTAAAGAACCTCTTATTGTTAGTTTAGGCTTAAACATGGTTCTGATATGACAGGAACACATGAAGAAACACAGGAAAAAAGAAAGATTTCTGTGTTCTTATATTCAGTAGAAGAAGAATCTTTCAAGGTGGTGCAAACTCTCTAAATCTTTTCATGACCAGATGCACATTGCGACACATTCTTACTCCAAACGTGTCAAACACTAGCATTTGGTCATGGCCCCATACACACACTGTATATGAAAACGCCTCATTGTGTGTGTCAACCTGTTGCAGCGATGCATTAGTGGCAATGTATTGCTGACCCACCGCCAAACCAGTCATGCTAGACAATGTTACAGGCAGCATAACGTTCACCACGGCATCTCCAGGCTCCTTCATGCCTGTCACATGTGTTCAGTGAACCTGCTCTCATCTGTGAAGAGAACAAGATGCCAGTGGCAGACCTGCCAATTCTGGTGTTCTCTGGTGAATGCCGGTCCTGTCCAGTTCTCCTCATGTAATGGCCAGTCTCCTGGTATCTCCTCCATGCTCTTGAGACTGAGCTGGGAGACACAGCAAATCTTATTGGGACTGCACGTATGGCTGTGCCATCCTGGAGGAGGTGGACTGCCTGTGCAAACTGATTGGGCTGTAGGTACCATCTCATGCCACCAGTACTGACAACGACACTAGCAGAACACAAAACAAGAGAAGAATCAGTCAGGAAGGATAAGGCGAGAGCAACTGTCTGTGGCCACCACATGCAGAATCATTCCCTTGTTGGGGGTTGTCTTGTTTTGCCTCTCCATTACCCCCTGCTGTCACTTTCATCTGCACTAAAGCAGGTGAAACTGATTCACAATCACTTGTGCATCTTAAATGGACAGATTGATATCCTGTGGCAAACCAGGGGACACAACCCAGCCAGTCCATCCTGGGGGCGGAGCCCCAGGCTTAGGTTGGGAGAGGTGGTAGAGGGAGTGTTTTAC